GCACAGAATCACTATGGACTTGTATGGCCTTACAGAAAAGAAGAAAAAGAAGTTTAAATTAATGTAAGTAAGCTATCTAATTCCACTTAAATGCATTACATAAAAGTATCTTTTAATAATATCACAATAAACTGAGGATGGTTTTTGTCTCCCCATGAAAAAGAAAGAAAATAGTATAAAAGATCCCAAAGGCATTTTGGCTGTGAGTTTTGTTATTAATCCTTAGTGCTAAATGCATCAAGATGTATAGAGAAGCCATGTTTGTTTCCTGTATTTAATTTAATATTGATTTTTAAAACTATACTAACACTGAATGTTCATGGGAAATGGAAATGCACACACACTTTAATCACCTTCAAATGTTTCTAGAAGACTTGCTCTTTTACTCTGAAAATATCAGTGTACAAATTTTAGTACACATACACCAATTTCAGATTCAAACTAATACGCAGTATTGGAGCAATACTTATATTTATGAATGATAACCTGTCCCCAGCTAATTATGAGATTTAAGAAACACCAATGATTAGAGTTAAAAGAAAAGCAGGGTTTTTTTTCTCTGAAAGAAGCTAATATTTCTGCTTTGGCCTTATATCAATCCCAAATGCAATCTGGAGTGGAGAAGAAAGCTCTTATTCATTAAATTGCTTTCATTTGACTAGATTCCCTAAACATTTTCCATGATTTACAATTTCAGGGCTTTTCCTGAAAAAGAAAAGCATAAACAGCACATGGTTAACATAACATGAACTTTGAAATGTGAGTGGGCCTATGTTCTTACATCAACATTTCCATTCTCCAGTGCCATTGCTTGCCTGCAGTAAACAAGGGAGTCAGAATTTCTTATAGTTTCAAGTCTGTTAAAATACATGAGGTTCTATTTTTCCCCAGAGACAAAGATGGCCAGAGTATATCCTAGCCAGTTTCCACATCTATAGTAGCCTTGTATTTAAGTAAAATATTTTCCCATCTATAAAGATGTAGGGTTGTCTTAAGAAAAGCCAAACGAAACAGAGGCCCTATTGCTTCCAGTAATTTTTTTTCAAAAGATCCGTTTAATATAAAGTATACTATGGGCAGTTCTATTTTGTGAGTAGTTAGCATATTTTTAAAAAAGCATCTGAAAAATAGTGTACATTGATCAAAATGACCACCAAACTCATAGGAAGTGATGCAAATAGTTTCGATTTTCTCCATTCTAAACTGGTAAAAATAGTTCTGTTTATTACTTATACTGGGAGAATATGTTGTCCACTAAACGATGTTGAACTACATCTCTCTGGAACCTAGCTAGCATGGCCAGCACTGAGGAATGCTGGGAAATATAGTTCAACATCTGAATAACTCAAGGTAAGCATACTTTGCCTGACTCAATTTTACAAGAGCTCATTTTACAAGCTTTCATTTCACTTCATTGGCCATTAATTTTCAGTATAAACTCCTGTTGTGGAAATTAAAGTTCACTTTGCCCATTGCCAAACTTTTATTAACAAGAGATCAAGATGCTAGTGTTTTCTTGTTGAGTTTTTTGTTGACTTTACCTTGAGGCTTTCACTGAAATATCCAATTCGTTTAAGAAAAGGCAGCTAAGCCACAAACTTGGAAACTCTTTGGCAATTAAAGGAATGTATGAAATGTCTGAGGAGTCAGATTAATTAAATGGAACTGTTCCCAAGAAACTCTGGATAAATGTAAATACATACCTGATTGTCAAGCCAAAGACTCAGCTTGCTAGTTTGCAAAAATCAGGCAAATTGCTCAGTTCAGAGCCTTAGGAAGTACGGAAACCTATTCCACTTGAGAGATCAAGTTGAGTACTCCCTAAATGCCTCCCCAGTCTTTTATTCTGTATATTTGCATCCTTTCTTTTCTGTAATTGGCTGACTTCTGCACAGGAAGTCTAAAACAGGGGTCGCCAAACTTTTGGACCCCAGGGACCACCAAATTCATAATTTTAAATCCCAGGGACCACTTACTGGTTCTGTGGGGCGTGGCCTAATTTGTGGATGTGGCTTGGTGGTCATGTGACTGGCTGAGCATGGCTTGTATTTAAATATAAATATTTATATAAATATTGAATCTTTTATATAAAAAGCAATTTTTACCCAAAATCAGGCAAAGCAGGCAGGCAGATTGAGTTGCTCACAGAATCACAGATTCATTCCGAAATCTATTTGCCATTGGCTAGCTCAGTCTCTAAAATTTGCTTCCGTGAGTCTGCACTGAATAGGTTCGGCTGTGATTAAAAGGAGAGCCGAAGATCTAAAGACTAGCTAGAAAGCAAGAAATCCAACCATTTCCTGCTTCCTAGCTAATTTAAATCTTCTGGCATAGCAAAACAGATGATGGTTGGAAAAAGGAAAAATAATAATTTAGCAGGCAAGTTTTCCAGGTAAGGAGTGGACGTTCTCACGGGCCATGTGGGTTGGGCAGCCTTGTGTTTCTGTGCAGCCTGGACTAATTGCTTTGGGGGGTGTTCTGGGGGTGAAATTTCTCTGCATCCCACAAAATTTTCTCACGGCGTTGGTGACTGCTATTCTAAATGGTCTTCTTAAAAGTAACTTACATGTAGAAATTTGCACAGCCAGTTTTTTTATACTGGATATTTCCATGCATTGCATTTTCCTTGTGAAAACATGTAGGATATTGATTGAAAAATTTCAAACATGGTTTTACTTTAGCACAAGAAGGATCACATTGTTAAGACTTGCACCAAAATGCAGATTTTCTCTAATGCTAAACTCATCCAGGCCGATTTTTACGATGGTATGGCAAGTATGCATCAGAAACCATAGCTAAAACAGAATGCTATAAAAAGAGCATCCGTCAGAAAATCAGTTTTCTGTTCATTGCAATAGACAGAATTCTTTTATTGGCCAAGTGTGATTGGACACACAAGCAATTTGTCTTGGTGCATATGCTCTCAGTGTACATAAAAGAAGATACATTAGTCAAGAGTCAAGAATCATAAGGTACAACACTTAATAATAGTCACAAGGTACAATGCAGTGTTTTACAGTATGTACATTAATACCTTTTTGAAGACAAGGTTGTCTCTGACTTCACATTTTATGCTTTTGTGAGTGCTTGCATCTATATTAACGCAATATTAATTAGTCCAGGAGTCTTTAACTAGAATCTATAAATAAGTGAATAGATTTCAGTTGGTGCATTTTAAAAAAAATACCTTATTTTCCCTATGCCCTACCCAAAATTTAGTTTTACATGTAAGCAACGAAGTGATATATAAACTCTAGGTTCCAAAAACATTTGTGAACTGCTACCTTAAATTATTGTAACTTAAAGAGTGTAGGTTCTCCTGCAGTTACAATCATTCATTTAGCAACGTTTTCAATTGCAATGACACTGAAAACAGAGATTTACAATCCAGTCCTTACACTTTTTTAACCATTGCAGCATTGCAATGGTCATGTGATCAAAATTTGGCAACCAGCATGTATTTATGATGGTTGCGGCATCTCCAGGTCATGTGATCACCGTTTGCGATCTTCCCAGCTGCCTTTTGACCAAAAAAAATCAATTGGGGGAGTCAGATTTACATACAATCACGTTTCACTTATCAATTCCAGTGATTTCAATTTTGTCCCCCACATACTATCTATATAATATAGTTGAAATTGAATATTTTAATCATTATCCTGATAGCAAATTTCTAAATAATTGTTCATCCTACTTGGTTAATCGATGGGCCAGGTAGGATTTTGTACTCTTTTTAAAATGTTTCACTTTTGTCTACAACTTTCCCTCCCAGGCTGTAAGGCAGGGGTGGGCAAACTTTTTGGCTCGGGGGCCGCATTGACTTTTAAAATTTGACAGACGGGCCGGGTCAGCACAAGATTTTTTGGGAATCGCCCCCCCTCTTCTCCTCCTTCCCCTCCCCTCGGAGGCCCCCTGAGTCAGGAGTTGCTACCGCCGGCGCAGCTCCGCGCGGCTCCAGTCCCACGTTGCCTCGGGAAGGGAAAGGCAAAAAGGAAGAGCCACGGCGGTGCTTTGCAACGGGAGCAGCGGCACCGGAGGCTCAGGCTCAGCGGCTCCTGGTTTTGCCTTTTCCTTCGCAAGGCAACGCGGGACTGGAGCTGCACGGAGCTGCACCGGCGGTAGCAACTCCTGACAGCCCCAGCCGGACACCTGAGCGGAGCCCGGGCGAAACTGCCTGTTGCTGCTGCCGGAGCACCGCCGGGTCGCCTCCTCCAAGCAGCCTGCCCGCCCACCGGGCTTCCCCTCTGCCGCGCGGCTTGGGGCCAGGCGCGAGCGCCCGCGAGTTAAAAGGAAGCCGAAAGTTGCTGGGAAGTTGCTCGGGTGCTGGGAGCAGGCTTTTAAAGTGCCGCTCGAGCAAAGTTTAAGCAGC